GTGAAGCAGGCGGTGCAAATAAAAAGTTAACTTCTTCGATCCTTGCTTGTAAGATCAGTGCTTGTAGAAAGTAATTAAGCAGAACTTGGGAGATTTTTTTTTTTTTTACCAAATTTTAAAATAGACCCCATTAGAAATTTATTTATGAAAACCGGCCGCTTTGAAATTTAATTAACATTTTCGACCAGGTTTCAGCCACCTGGCTGAAACCATGTCGAAAATGGTAAATAAAGTTCGAAAACTTCACGGGATTAAAAATCCCACGAAGTTTGATAAATTACTAAGCGTAATCACGTAATAGACCAAGTCATCTGAAACTACAACCAAACTTCACGGGATTTGAAATCCCGTGAAGTTGCAGGGGGCATCTGCCAGAGAGCTCACATCGAGCTCTCTGCAAAAATAGGCCTGCAACTTCACGGGATTTGAAATCCTGTGAAGTTTGGGTGTATTTCTTCTGCAGCTTCATTAGCGTGGTTAATCAGGTACTAAATTTCACGGAATTTTAAATCCCGTAAAGTTTTCGAACTTTATTTACCATTTTTGACCCAGTTTCAACCAAATGGTAATTAAATCTCAAATGGGTCGTTTTTAAAATAAATAAATTATGAATAGGGTCTATTTTAAAAATTTCCTTTTCTTTAATATTATACTTTCTTTCTTTCTCCATATCTTCAAAACCTTGCTGATGAAAATCACCCCCTTGATTAAACTAGCTCTTTCAACAAAAATCAGGATTATGTTGCTTTTTAACGAATGGGTCTGTCGTAAGATTGCAGAAATTCACAAGGAATATTCGACTAATAAAAGAAAAAGGCTTAACTGCACTTAAATAACCTATAGCTTCCCTCGTTTTGCACTTACATACCCTCAATTGTGTTTAGTAGCGTGTACCCTGAAGTTTTTAAAAACTTACACTTATATATCCTCACTCATTTTGTCAGCACTTACACACGCCAACGTTTTTAAAACTTGCACTCAAATACTCTAAAGTTTGAATAATTATACTTAAATATCCTAGGTTATATAAAATTGAGGGTATTTGAGTTCAAGTTTTAAAAACTTTAGGATATTTAAGTGTCAGTTTTAAAAACATTTATGTATTTAAATGCAAGCTTTAAAAATTTTAGGGTGTTGAAATGTTGCCGAAAACAAATGAGGGCATGCAAGTGAAAGTTTTTTTTAGCTTTGTGGTATATAATTGCAACGTAGGGGAAACTATAGAGTATTTAAGTGCAATTAATCAGGAGAGAAGGTTCATAAACCGAAGAATCAAATGCTGTCTGCTGTCTGCTGTCTGCTGTCTGCAGCAAACCACCATAAAGACCCGCCCCCGGCCGGAACTCAATCCACTCCCATAATCAAAACCAAATCCCTTTGCTCACGTCCGCTGGGAATTCTCAACCTCTTTTACCTCTCCGCTCAAATTTTAAATTAATATTTTTTCCTCGCCCAATCATCGACACTTGCAGCTTTGCAGAAAACCCCCACCTCTTCTATCTATTTCTCTCACTCTCTCTCCCGCCGTCGGCCACCATCATCTCCTCCCTCTCTCTCCCTCCCTCTCTCTCTCTGAACCTAGGGTTAGGGTTTCGTAGACTTCGAAGAATCGACGGATGGAGATTCTCTCGCCTCTCTCTCTCTGAACCTAGGGTTAGGGTTTCGTAGACTTCGAAGAATCGACGGATGGAGATTCTCTCGAGATCCAGTGAAGAAGAAGACTTCGAAGAATCGACGGATGGAGATTCTCTCGAGATCCAGTGAAGAAGACGAGGACGAGTACTTGAGGCGCGAGGGTTCCTCTCAAAGAGGTAGTAGTTCGATCGTTGGTTTTTGAGCTGTTTCTGTTTCTGATCCTTTTCGTTGTTGTCTTCATGAAGGGGATTTTACGGTGAGATTTGATGGGAAGAATGCGGAGCAGAAGCAGCAGCTGCTGACGCCGAGATCGAAGCACTCTGCAACGGAGCAGCGGCGGAGGAGCAAAATTAATGACAGGTCTGCCATTTTGATGGATAATGCTGGTTCTCCTTCTTCTTTTTTAAATTCGCTGAAGTCTGTGCTAGTGTCGTTAGGGTTGCTTGCTCAATGTTCATCCCCCCCTTTAATTATTTGGGTGGGGGTAGCTGTTGTTACTGTTTATGAACGTGAATCTTGTTGGCATGTTTAAGCCGAGTCGACGAAGGCAACATATATCTATATTTACTACACAAGAATGAGGGTCTTTGAGGGGGTGTTGGCAAACGAGCGATGAATTGAATGCGTGGAAGTCACTTTTTTTTTTATAAAGGGGCGTGAAAGAGCATCCACTTCAGAATGCATGTGAAACACCGTGTTCGTTTGCGAAAACAAATTAGTGCTGAAACTAGAAAAGTAAAGATGATGCGGCTATGACATTTTATTTCATGTATCTAAAATTGTATCATGCTTTCAATGATTGTTAGTTACGAGCAGGCCCCGATTTTACGCTTTCCCACTTTTTTAGGCAGAGTTAAATATGCATGAAATCTGATACGGACCTTTTTCGCATTTTACTTTACAGTCACTTTCGAAGAAACAAACACTTGGAAGTGCTGAAAGTGTCTCGCTTTCACGTTTTCATTTTTCACTCCTGTCGAATAAGCACCTCCTTAGTCAGTTAGAGCGTTACATTCTCCGATACCATTTCAAGCACAATCTACTTCTCATGTGTTTAAAGGATAATTTTTTTCTTTCGATAGCCTTAATAGCAGTAAAAGATATTCATTTCAGTTAAATGGTTACCTCTTCATGAAATAGGCTTATTACCTTATCTTGCAGATTTCAGATACTCAGAGACCTCATACCACATAGCGACCAAAAAAGGGATAAAGCTTCTTTCCTTCTGGAGGTATAGCGTGCATACCAGAAGTAATAAACAGCTATAATCTTTTTACAAACTAGGTTTTCCCTAGTTAGCTTTGTTATTTATCTCACTTACTGTTGCAGGTTATTGAATATATCAGGTTCTTACAAGAGAAAGTGCAAAAATATGAATCATATCCGGATATGCCATGGGTAATGATTTTCCTTTTTCATTAATCGCACTCAGATTCATGCATATCCATGTGGCTAATTGGCAGAGGGCATTTTGGCAGTATTAATTTCTCAAGGTGTATGCAATCTTCATTTTTGTAGATTGGAGAGTTTTGTAAACAAACTGATATCGGCCCTTTTTCGCTTCGAATATCATGTCATAAGGGCTTTCTTAAAGCACTGTACATTCAAGTAGTATTTGACTATTTTCAATGGAGTAACATCCTATTATTGGCCAATTGATGACTCATGGAAATAGTTTTTTTTTATACTAACCTGCCAAAGCTTGATCCTGGTTAATTACCTCATTCCAGTCAGTTCTCTTCTTGGCTACCCTGTTGTTGGATTCAAGAATTTAGTTTATTGTTGAACTTCCAATTATTATTCTTGACTTTTTGAGGGTTTATTTGTAAAAACTTACTATTGTATTTAATTAAGTATGCTCTTATGTTATTTTATCCAAACATTTTCAAACACTCTTTTATAAAAATAAAAGCTCTGTCTTGTTCCTATGAATGAGTCATAATAATGGTAATAAAAATGATGGTGGTGGTGATGATAGCAGCGCCGACAGCAAAAATGGGAAACCTTGCATGATTATTAGGACTTTAAAAACTAACAGGTTATCGCTATATTTCTTTAGGTTTTCAGATATTTTCTTGACATCCAGCATTAGCAAGAAATGTTATTTATATTTCCTAGAGTAAGATGGTACTATTTTTTTTTTTTTTTTGCTCCAACTACATCCAAAATCTGTCTTTTTGCAATAATATCATTTTCCCTTTTGCACTGAAGTTCTTTGAGTATGTATTAGAATTCATTTCTTTGATACCTTGCATTCATGGCAGTCTTTTTATGTCAATATGTTTTTATGGACATTATTTGTCAATGGTTTTTTTTTTCTTTTTTCTTTTTTGTTTTTATTTTGGCCCCAGAAATTTTGGGTTATCATAGTCCTTTCACTGAGCAATGGAATCTCTTTGTTGATTCCTGCTTTGGTTTTTTTGGCAGGTAAAGACCTTTTTTAGGTCCTTATGGAAAAATGCACGGGTATATGTTATTTTTTTTCCAGGAACTTAAATAGCTGGAAATTTTGGAAATATGGGCTGAGAATGTTTTTAGACTATAGTTTTAAAAACATATTTTTTTTCTGATTTTTACCTTTTTTTATATCAGAACAATACACAAGGCGCTGGAGATGGTCATGCATCAGGATACATGTATTCTGGAAATGACAATAACATCTCTGTTGCCCCAGGAATGCTTTCAAATATGCAGAATCCTGTAGAGCCTGAAGTGAGTTTGATTAGTCATTACAACCCAATGAAATATCCTACTGATTTCTCAAAGTGAGATGTCTTCCATGCAGGTTTCTTTGCAAAGGCTCCTCTCGGATTCTAATAACGCTGCATCCCAGTCCCAATGGCTAAGACCAACATGTCCAGCTGATGATACAGTGAACAACGAGATGTTGAATGGACAAGAAGAGCTGATGATTGATGAGGGGACAATTAGTGTGTCGCACAGCTACTCCCAGGGGTGAGTGTCTAGTAAGTTATGATCATTAATGTTTATGCTACAAGATTACAAACACAACCATTATATTTCATTTTATTGATTATTATGGGTTCTAATGCAGACTACCAGTTTGACATGCATGCATGTGCACACAAAAATGAAAGAATTTACATGAAATGTGATTGAATGCAGATATTATAGGTTTGTATGTATTTTATGCATGTGAGTTTGATGTGCATCAGTGGCAAAGCCAGATATCCATGATAGTGGTGTCACAAAGTATATGAAAAGACGATATAACTAATATTTCTCTCATATTCAATATATCATGAATTTTGATGAGATACAAAAGATATATTTAACTAAGTGAAATTACCATTCTCATCGTTTCATCATAGGCTCATTCGAAACACCACTAAATATACCAATGGATATACAACATCTCTATGTCTCAACCCAATTTCTCCGCAAGACTACCTATTCCTTTCACTTTTGAAAACTCATCGCTAGAGTGCATATAAGTTATTGCTAACACTTGGATTTTGGTTTTGGGCTATTTATGAGTTGCCTCATTATAAGTGAATGGATCGGCCTATTTGTATAGTGGGTTCACTAATACCTCAAAGCTACTATATACTTAGAAATTTTTTGGCTGGAGGGTCGTGTCACGTGACACCACCCTCATTGGGGTAGCTCCGCCCGTGTGAGCATGCACGGACAAATTCATGTTTTCTCAATCTTTATAATCTTTTCAGTATGCGAAGGGCTACTCTAAATCATTCATCTTCCGAGTTGGTGAATGGTTCAAATTAATTATAAACTTTTCTGTTAGACTATTTAATGTCATAAAACTTAAATAATAAGGTAGGGATATTAAGTTCGGATTTCATCAGCATGCACTTCTACTCAAAAAGTGACAGATTCTTGTCCTAATTAATAAATCTTTTCTTTGCATTGTGATTTAAGACCTTAATCTACCAGTTAATGTAAAATCATGTCTTTGAATATCGACTTTGATCCTCACTTCTATCCAGTATATATGTGGCTCAGAGATTCCCTTACAATCTGTTTTCAGCATTTTATTTTCATGAGATTTACAACAATGCGCCTAATCATTGTGGTGCGGATGGTTTTATGACAAGCAGGCTCTTGGCTACACTGACTCAATCATTAGAGAGCTCGGGTTTAGATCTGTCCCAAGCTAGTATCTCTGTGCAGATTAGTCTCGGTAAAAGAGCAAAAAGACCTGCAGCCACTAGCACTTCTAGTGCTAAGGTATGCTTTTCGTCTCTTTGTTTTTCATTTGAGGACCTAATAAAATTAAGAGTTCTGTTGAAACCATCTGAGACTGATTTCACTCGAGAGTTTCGGTTATGACCTCGGGAAACATAATTCAGTCTTTAACTATTTCAGCTTTCAAAGTTGAATACAACGCTAGATGTAAATATTTCTCATGCAATTATATGGATTTTTATTCTTGTCATACGCTCTCCTCTTTGCTATTTGTAGCATGAGTATCTTACCATCACATAGTTGCTATGTTAATTCCTTTGTATTCAGTAACAACCGCGTCTTACGTTTGAATTAACTTTTAAACAAACATAATAAGGTTTTTTTTTTCCTCTTTAGGACCTTGACGACCCTTCATCTGGTAATCGAGCCATGGCGCGCTCAATGATAGGGAGCAGCGGTGAGGATTATGAACAAGCTTCAAAGAGGCATAAAATGCATAACAATAGCTAACACATAAATTACTCCCGTTCCTCATGGTTATGGCACCCCCTGTCATCATCCTTCTGATCTGGGGTTTGGGTTTTCAGAGCTGGAGGGTTATTGATATTGATCTTGCTCGCAAAGGAAGCTGAACATTTTACGCGTCCATCCGTGAGAGAGAGAGAGAGAAGAAAACTCGATTATTTGCCATGTACTATGCGTTCTTACAAACCAATGTGATTTGTATGGGGTAATTCGGGTGCCCTCTCACCATTACTCTTCTATTCATCAGCGTACCTCCTACCATGCTGATACTACAGGTGCATTTTTTGCGGATCTTTTAACGAGACTCCCTTGGCAAAGCAAAAGGCTGAACCTACCGATTTTAGGTTGTGAAACTACCTCCCCATTTTGGGTGCTCTTCTTGCAGAGGAACGTTGGGGGTTAATTTTGGCAACGGGATGATTTTCCTCTTAAATTTTTGATTTAACTCGCAAGGTAACGCCTCAAGCCGCACCTAATTCCCCTCAGTCGAACTCCGAAGCGAATCACAATCATCCCAAACGTGCCCTCTCTTTTTTACAATTAGACACAGGCCTCTCTTTTTAGTCATTTAGGTGAAGGATGAAATAGTGGTGGGGGGGACTTCCTCCCGACCCTGCATGTTTCACTTTCGGAAAGCATTCAATACAAACCTCGTGCTTACAAAATATCTGCAGAAGCCTCTAAATACATGAAACCCTCACTTAGCAACAATGACAACACACAAGCTACAAACCTTCCTCCATTTCTCGTAAATATCCTTCAACTCTTCCCAGCAACAATTGCGGCCCGAACAAACTCCTCACAGCTCGAAAACCCACCAGAGAGCGCATCCCCAAGCGCTCCCATCACGTCAAACGCCTCCTGCAGATCCACAACCGAGCTCATCTCCTCAAGCCATGACAAAAGTTCCTTTGAAAGCCCGACCATTTCCTTCACATTCGACAGCTTCTCCTTCATCACAACCTCCCACCTCTCCAAACCCTCTGCCTCTCCTTCAACCGATCCCTTCTTAACTTTAAAGAAACTCTGCAATTGCTCGACCAAGCCAGTGTAGACGAGCATGGGCTGAACTATAGGAAAGAGATTGCTGGTATCAGACGAAGAATGCCCGTGCACATGTTGCATGTAGGCATGATATATTCCTCTCTTCAAGAAAGCGGGCCGGTGTTTGCACCAGTCTTCATAGGACTCGGAGAGGAGAGAGTTGAGCATCATGAATTGGACAGTTTCTTCAGAGGATCGAGCAGGGGAGAGAGAGGAAGGGGAGGATTTGGATGAGGAGTCGGTTGCGGTGGTGGTTAAGGGAGAAGAGAGGTAGGTGGAGACGGAGTTGGCCATGGAGACGCGCTGGTTTTGGGAGTTGGAGGTTCCTTGGTGGAGGAGGTAAGAGGCCATTTGGATCATGAAGGGGAGGAGACGAGCATTGCTCTCTTTGCCACCGCCATTGGCGTCTATGCTGAATGAAGCCCCAGTTGCAAATCGAGCCAACATCTAAAAGACATACATTACTCCATATATTAATTACTTGTCATAAAGATAAAGAACGCCTCGAATAAATAAAAGATATTTCATCAGTCTTGGAAGTGTGTGGGCTATAAGCTAAAAACAAGAATGGGAAACAATATGATACTATGAAACACTCTACCAAGGAGATACATTCAGAAGTATCATTGGATCAAAGAATAATAGGGACAATTATCCTTTCCTAGGATTTGATCAGAAATAATTGCAGGTACACCTATGCTCTATGACGACGTAGCCACTTATACTTCCTGAACTGTTTTACTAACTTGCACCCTAATTTCAGACGGCATAACTTTTTTTTGCCTCAAGTTGGAGGAAATTAAGTCTATTTTTTTCTAGTTGAAGTAACAACAGAAGGTAATTTATCATGTTGTTATCTCTATGCGACATAGCAATCGAACCTGAGAAACAATTTCACCTGGATTCCAAAGGATGCAGGTGCTAATAGGTAATTTAGGTGGTACAAGTGTTTTTTTACAAGTGGTTACAACTTCCTACAGTTAACCGTTTGAATAATGAAAAGCTAATATAAACAGAAAGACAAATGTTATATTAAGGCATGCCTCAATAATAAATAAATGCAAATTAGGAGAAGACATGCCTCTATAATATATAAATGTCGACCGTGACCAAGCATCGTTCTAATTCTTTAGATCAAATAGTTGAATTTCTGCTACCAGGAAAAATGGAGGCTATAACTGGAAACAATGAATTACTCTTCATGCATGACCAAAATAACTCTATACGCATGTTTCCCTTATAAATTTATCAATAAGAAGAAAGGAACGAATACATACCAAAACGATGTCATAAGTCAGCAACCGAAGCCGGCTACCATCAGCACGTCCAAGGGCACTGAGGTTATCCCAGTACTGATCAACACATCTAACATACTGAGCAAGAGGAACAGCTGGCCCCCTCAAAGGAAAGATACAATTACACAAGGTCTCATTATTCCTTAAAGTAGCTCCCTCCCACTCTTTCTTGGGATTCTTTAGTGCAGCATCTGCCCTTTTCGCTTCTTGATGACATTGAAAATGTATGATATTAAAATGGCTCACAGTAGTATAAACACAGTCCCCTCTAGAACTCCCAGATGAACCTGAGCCCAAGTTCACTCGCTTGCTGTAAGAGTAAACACCCAACATGTCATTTGGTCTCAAACTATAGCCCTCTCTACAAACCATGCAAGCCAAACCATCCTCCTCTTCCTCTACATCTTCTAAACCTTCAATTGTGGGTTGAGAAACAACTATACGCTCACCCCCATCTGAAGCGAACTCTCGCCGCATCCCAAGCCCCTAAAAATATGAAAGAAAGAAAATGCGAGGTTATCAATTTAGTAAAGCCATTTAAGTGAAGAACTACTTGTCAGCAGCAATTTTAAGTTAGTAATTTAAGCTCTTTCTCCATGCATTGTTATAAATGTTTTAACTGCATTATTCAAGAGAGACGATGTAGTGTATAAATGTCTAAAGGATTAACCCAGGTATGATCCAATTACAATTCACATACCTAAAAATCCAATAATTCATTCTGTACTGTAAACCTCATTCTTTTTGGGTATCCCAGTTTCTAATTCCAGCTCACTACCGCTAAAATTTTATACATGGGTAAAGTGCAAAACTCCCCTAAGTTTTCAGAAGTGATAGCTTGGCACCTCTGTTTCGAATTCTATGAAAACTAACCACGGAAAAAACTGTGGTAAGAGGATACAAATACTCTCATATAAACATGTATCACTATTATATTGATAACCGATTATTTAATTGAGAATTTTGATGATAGTTGACTAGAATCTGAAAATGAGAGTAAAGCATCATTTTTAAAACCTCAGGCTATGTTCTATGGTTCCTGCAAGACAGGGCAATCTTCCATAATTTTACCACGAAAATGTAACATACTCATATACTATGTTCTTTTTGCTTGAGAAATTACCCCAAAAAAAGGTACTAAACACTCAGAATTGAAGATATAAATTTACCTGAAGCAATTCCTCTCTTTTCTTGAGTGCCTTACGACGCATCTCATCCTTGGTAGCATGCCGCAACTTGTGTATCTTCTCCCCCAGGAAGCCATCACCATTACCCTCCTTGTCAGCCAGTGTGTCCAGCAAATTCTCGGCTCTTGCACCAATTTCATTCTCTCCAGAAACTCCTTCTAGAGCATGAAGTAGAGGCAAGATCCCTTCCTCATCAATACACCTCTGAGTAGCCAAATGACCCTTTGACAGCCCCCTCAACATGGACAATATCAACGGCACAGATGACAATTTCAAACCATATGCCCATTCAGAACTTGACTTGTAACCAGCTTGTCCAGCTACAGCAAAACACTCAGTCAGATGCCCAACAGCAATCTTGGCAATCCCCTTTCCTAGAATAATGTCCTTCAGCCTCTCTCCGCATGAACTTGTCCCAAGTGATTCTGATACTCGTACAAAATTCTCCAAAGCAGACCTCTGCTTTGCTGCTTGTAAAGCTACGTTCTCATCCTTGGGATTCTCTTGATGCAATCTTTGAAGGTGGTCAAATTCACCCCAGTTCAGCAAGTAAGGATCAAAATGTTGGATAAGAGTTTCCATTGCAGCCGGTTCACCATAAGTCAAGTACGGCAAGATCCTTGCAACCATCTCATTGTTCCTCTGCTGTTTAGTTGATTTTTTTAAACCTACAGGATGACATAGCCTTTCCAGGAACATGAGAACTATTTTCTTTGCCTGTTCACCAACACCGCTTTCTTCATTACTAATTATACGTACGCCTTGAGTGATCCCAATGTCACTTTCATTAGCTTCAACAGTAAGGCTTTCTACAATCAAAAGGATGCCCTCAGCAGGCTCCATGGCATCTACTGAGAAGGCACGCCTAACAGTCTCCAGAAGCAATCCCAGAGCCCCCAGTTTCAATAAAGCCTGTCTATTCTCACGTATCTTGCAGCAGTACATGAGAAGATTGAGGACTGAACTCAATTCTTCTTGGTTGGATTTCAATTCATCATCAGACAAACACTGTCGGTTAAGATCAAAGGTTAGAAATTGTGAACCATAAGAATTCTCCAGCTCAAGAACACATGTAAGATCAGAAAATTAATGCAAAAACAAATTGCATACAGTTCACTATTCCAAAATCTCATGAAAACAAATAAATTTCGAACCAAACTTATCTAATATAACAAAATGACACAACTAACCTGGATCATACTCAAAATGATTTCAAGGCCTCCACATTCCCTAACTGCACCTGCTATTGCAAATTCCACTTCAGGGTCCTGTATCTCCTCCCTTTCCTCTTCCAATTCTTTGATCATTGGCTCTGTAGCTTCACCATCTAGTCCCTGCCATTTAAAAGAGCACTAATTCAGATAATGCCGACATACTTTCACACTAGAACAAAGATCAGATTCTTTGTACTTTTCTTCATTTTATGTGTTTGTCCGTGTCTGTGTCTGAGCTGGCTTTCTTCTCTTTTTATTTCTCTTGCCTTTTTTCCCTTGTTGATGTTGTTGATGGTTTGGGAGGGTGGTATGACTTACTTGCATAAGAGTGCTTGTTTTCTGTGTCTGTGTGAGCGTGAGTGTGTTTGTGTTTTTTTTGTTTGACTGAGTGAGGTCATTTAGTTTTTTTAGTTTTTTTCCTGGTTTGGGCCAACTAGTCAAAAGGCAAGTCTCACAATGTCCACATCCCCACCACCCTCCTGGGAGTCCATGAACTCAAGTAGGCAAAAAATGAACCTGCACAACATAGTACCCCATATGCTCAGACCCTTAAATGTTTATCTTGTATATGGCTACTGATGTTCTCAAGCATATTTGACACCTGTCTATGCATATTTAGAAATCAATCACAGAAGATATGGAAAAAAATGCACATGAGCGTACTTTGCCCAATCAAGCATCCGATTGACATTTATAAACACAAATATGATAGACATGCATGCACATGACGAGACAAAAATAGACATGAAACCACTTGTGAACATATGCATAAATTATTTATAGTGGCGAGGTCCTACAGGTCATATACATTCACACACACGACAGCAACTTAAATATTCATGAATCACAAAGTATGTAATGCAAGAGTATATCAAATATATACAGCATGGCACTTAAACAGGATATAACTCAAGGTAATAGTGTTCAAGAGGCAGCCATAAATGCAGAGACATGTGCAAACATAAACCCATAGCACATACATAGATAATCAAGTTATCAAGGTAACAAAACACTGGCTGAAGTAATACATGCCACTAATAAATTTATAACTATCACGTATTATAACCAACCTGAAGACGATATGTCACCGTCATTGGTGGATAATCTCTAACAGATGTGAATGTCCCTGAAGAAGGTGTAGCAGAAGTGGACATGTTATTCTGTGATTGACTATGATGTTTCTTCCAAACTTGCTCATATACTTGAGATATACTCAGGTCAAGTGAGATTATATTGCCAGCAACAAGTAATTCCATGCCATAGTCATCTTCCACAAGACCTAAAAGATCAAGCTGATGACAAATTTTATTCTTGACGTCTCTCATTAAAGGGCCAATGTCAGTACTATGGTATGGATTCTTCGTCATAGAACCCCTTATGAACTCTTCCTGAGTATGTGCTTTATTGAGGATCAAAAGATAAACAGGTTCCGGTTTTGTCGGGCAAATTATATTGCAGAGTTGCTCCAGAATGAACTGCATAACATAATCAGACATGATAAGAAGATGATTTAATAAACTATAGAATGGTTTTATAGTAGCAAAGAAAAAAGGACTAATTAAGAATAATAAATCCTGAAACTATGGAGTAGTTGATCAGAATGTGATAAACAATTATATATTTTATGGTATCAAAGGAGAAAAGGAATAATTAAGAAAAATTAATCCTGAAACTAATAGATGACTACAGTTTTACAGCACAAAAAAATGAACTATCAAGCTGGCTATTGAAACCAAATGTCCCCACTATATTTGAGGACGGTAGAAAGAAAAATTATAAGGGGGTAATAGGGAAGAAACATGAAAGAGAACATGAACTGGAAGTAACTCAGCAACTAATTTATATAAAGAAACTCAACATTAATACACTGAGAAGAAATTTCATACCAGCGAAGTACGCCCCCTCTTTTCTTTCGCGTGATTCTGCAGACCTGAAATACAAGCACAGATGAACTGCCGTTTGTTTCCTGTGCTCTCTAGCAGAAGACTATCCAGAAGGTCTTTCAGAACTCGATTACAATCACTTATTAGCTTTGTCTTCTGTACTATAAGGCCTCGAATGACAAGAAGAGCCTCAAGTACTTGAGAAAGCAGCTCATCCCGCATGAACCTGATAAAACACAGAGCTACCATCAGGAGAAGGGAGATAATAGATCATATTATAAAATTTTGCAAGAAATCTTACGGTCCGTACCTGACTCGGATATTGGATACATCAAGAAACTTGCTGAGGAGCTCAATAAGTTTGTGAAGAATGAATCCTTGAGATATATCAATATTGAGACTTCTCTCTTGTGACTCAATATTGTTTGCCTCTTGTGTTATCAATCTACAAATCGTAGTGAGGCATCCCTTCACAGTTAAGAACAACCGTGCAGATTCCGAATCAATCATTCTGAAGAACAATTCAAAATATTCTGCTGCACTTTCTCCAACAGACAGAGTTGCCGGAAGCAATGACATGAGTAAATTCAATAACTGGAGGCGTCTAGAAGTGTTCTGTGGGCAGAGCAAACTAATAAGATTGCACACTTCGGCCCTTATAGACTGTGAACAAGCACTCAATATCAACTCCGAAACCCAAGAACCCAGTGCAAACTTTGAGAAGTCGGTCTTGGCTGTCCTTTTACAAGCATTGTGCTTCCATTTAAGGCCATATTTAAGAGCTAGGTAATCAAATTTCTGTGTCTCTTGCCTAGACCTCTGAGATGTAACTTTTACTGACTGTGTGACTTTGTACTGTCGTCTGACAAAGTCGAGATAGGAAGCACCCTTTTCCCACTCAGAATAGCTTAGAAGTGGAATATCCCGGCCCTTCCTACCACCATCCCAATGCTTTTCTGATTGCTCAGCAGACTTCGTGCTTCCAGGAACGCCACTCATAGCTACAGATGGATTCAAACCATTATCAGATTTTGACTGCAAAATGGGAAGATGCTTTCCTGTCCCTAGATCTTTATCTCCAGCATCAGTCTTGGGAGGGGTACACGCCTGAGATATGATCCTCAAACAGGGAAGAATAATATGTTCTGAAATAGCAGGGTGCTTTGCCCCCAACTTGATTGAAGAAAACAATAGCTGAAATGCAACACGCAGCCTTGATTCCCAGAACTCATCCACCACAGCACAGGTTTCTGAAAGCAAGAGGAGTTCTTCACGAGTTGCCAGAGCTATATCCATAGAACGATGGTGATCAAGGCAATACATGACCTTCTTCTGAATCAATGTATTCAACTCAAGCACTGCATTTGCATCACCTTCAGAAAAAGCACACAGGACTCCTCTCGCCTGAGCACGAGCTGTTTTAGTACCCTGATGAATATTATTCTCAAACAACTCTTTCAAGATCCCAGATGCAACAAGCTGCTTTTTGCAGTAGCCATATTTCGACAACACTTGTAAAAGCTCCATACATTGCGTCACAAAAGTTGTAGCACAGCCGTAGCAATTGTTTGGCGACCTTGAAACCGCAAATCTCGATGAAGCCACTGCACTGTCAGAATTCTTTTGGTGTAAATAAGTCATCAACACTCTCCTCAGTCCTTGCAGGGTCTGGACACTTTTGCTGACAGAATCAAAAGCTGCTTTGCATTTCTCTCCATATAACACACCTAGTAACGCAATTTTCCGGTTTATCTTACATGAAGGCCCAGGCAAAGACACCATCATTTGTTGCACAGTATCTTTCTGCTGCGAATCTATTTCATTTTCACCTATACTTGATACAAGTTTAAGCAATGGTTTTTTAAATCCTAACAGTTGCTGGTACCTTCTATGTGCATTCTCTGATTCTGATTCAATAGCTGCCAAACCTTTTCTCATATCCTCTTCGTTTTCCATATTATCAAATGAGAAACTTGGTTTTGCCATGAAATTAAACTCAAAGCGTCCATATTTGCTATACCCACACTCATTGCAAAGGAATGAATCCAAATTTTCATAATTAATATTGCGGCATTGTCTGCATTGATATGCATTTTCATGGCAATTGCTGCAGATCCCATGCTTATCAGTAACAGGCCTACTACAACGGGGGCACTGCAATGACTCAAGAGAGGACGCTTGCAGATTTTCGTAGAAAGAATCCAGCTCTATCATGAAATTGCAAGCAGTAATTGGAATAGGAAATTCAACTTTCAGCTCCGTTTGGTTAAACACAAGATGACAGCTCTTTGCACGCTTCCACAGTGACCAGTTATTCTTCAGCTCTGACAAGTCAGCAACAGGCCTATTATTATAATACAAGTTCAGAACTTTTACTGATTTTGACTTGCGAGCATCATGAACATTCATTGTCACTGTTTGAATAACATAGCTTCCTGTGCATTTCACAATTATGCGGTTACCCGTGTACTTGGTCTCAGATTTCAAGCTCTCAAGCTTCATTCTAGTGTAAGGCACCTCTGGGCAGCTACAGGCTACACAAGGCTCGCTTTCTAGATAATACCCATCAAATTCTACCAACCCACTTAGAGTATTGTATATACGAGAATTAGGATGATTGGCCAAGAGCTCATTTTGTGAGTGAAGAGTCTCAAATATGCAGCTTATTACATCAGAAGTCAAACATTTGTTGATGAGTTCTGTCTCAGGTTGCTTTGCACTGATGTCAGGCACCTTACCTAGCAGCCAGGTCATAAGCTCTATGTACTCCATAATGTTCTGACCATACATGGGCAAGAACTTCACTTTTTGCAAGAGAGTAGTTAACATGAACTCCTTGAATGAATGTTTTGCATGATGCCAAACACCAAACAAAACACACTTAGCTTCACCACGTACACTTGTTGAATTCCACTCTACCAAAAACGCATCAATAAACCTTCTCAAAATACAACCATCGTTGTTGCTGAAGATTTTGACAGCCTGGTCCATCTCAATACAAGATTTCTCTGAAGAACTTTCAGTTCCATCGTCACCTTTTCTCTTCTTCTTGGGGTCTGAAGGTTGTGCACCACCTTTATTAGAGCTTGTTCCTCCATCTCCACCTTCCAATTTCTGCATGGCATGGCACATCTCCTTTCCAGTATAGAAGGCCAGATTCAAAAGTTTAAGAGATTGTATGACGGATTCTTCACTAAAATAAAATATCCCATCGACCAAAAATGGCAAAACATCAATGTGCTTTGAGCAATACTTCTGCCAATTTCTGGGTCTGGCCACAGCTGCTTCAGACATAGAGGATAAGCACTTCACAAGTTTGACGCTTTTCTCATACGGAACAGGATTCCGAAAACTGCCCGACTTATTTGCAAGCTTGTACAACCTCTTTACTTCCATTGAGAATTGCCATGTATCTCTCACACTGTAATAATGGGTTTTGCTACCACACAAGTGAAGGAAGAGCCTTCTAGCATACCTCCGTACAAATGTTGTATTTGGATTGCTAATATAGGTGCAAAGAACATCTTGAAATCCATCCAATTTCAAATCCTTACCAGCACTTGCCTTGTATGGTTTATCCTTTTCAGCAGATTTGTCTTGCTTCTCAGGGCGAACCAAACTATACACCAGCCTGAAAGTGTTCTCTAATAACAGTTTGTGGTAATCCATGAAAAGATCTGCACGATGAGCTTTTGCATATGAATCAGAGAAGAAGGGAGAAAAGTTTCCAGCTGGTAGCTCTCTTCGAACAGTTAGAAGGGAACCACAACCAGAACTGCTAGATAAACAACTTTCAGGTAACAAAGAAGTGGACTTGAAAACATGAACAAGCTGCTGCAAAATGTCCATCAAATAGTTCAAGAAAGTCTGTTGTCTCAGGAAGGAACAAGCTCGAACAAGCTGAGAAGCAAATTCATTCTTTTCTTGGTTATCGGATGACAAAGCTGTTGACGATGATAAAGGAATTTGAACAAGTCCTTTATCTTGTGACTCAAGACCGGATTTTGACTGAGAACTGTCACTGCCAGGTTGATGCCAATTGCGAAGCATTAAGGTAAAGAACATAAAAACAAGGATTGAAACTTCGCCAAAAAAGGAGCGGTTTTTAGCTGAAAATGGTCTGCTGAGATTGATCTCATCTAGAAACCACTTAATGAATTTTTCTAAGTCTAGGTTTTCAGGTTTTGAACTATCCATAAAAGGACCACCCACTGCAGAAGATAATCTGTAGAATAGCTGCATGACAGGAATAGCTCGAATACCAGAAGTTGTCTCCATCCACCCTCTGAGCTCCTCAACTAACTGACGAAGCAGCAGAGAGTTCAGAGCACGTTTTGATGCAGAAATAGAAACTATCCTTTGATCAATCGCAGAGGAAGAAAAATCTCCAGACACTGTGGTGTCTAATACATGATGAGGAGAACTTTGAACGCTTAGATCAGCAGAAACTTGAACTAAACCTGCATCATTTAACTCATCCATTGAGAAATGGATCTCATTGCCATCACCTCCAAGAGCATCAATTGGGATTGCTGACATAGGGTGCTCTCTAGAATGTGGAGGAGGGAGCCGATCGGCATCCAAAATCTCATAACAGGCCTCACACAAGTCAAAGTCCGGGCATATGTTGCAATGCCACCGGCGTCTAAGTATAGGAACTGTAGAGCAACCATCACAGCAATATTGTACTGATGATGTAGCTGGATCTTCTTCAATCATAACTTGTGCATTTCCAGCAGCTGCACTCATATCAGAAGGAATGTTGGGAGTAACAGTATTCTCTGCAGCATCATCAGTTGTCAGCATTGTCTGCTTCGGGAAAGGTACTTGAAGCAGTCTAGATGATATGGCCAAACTGCCAGATGAAATGGAAAAGAAAAATATCAGAATAGGTACCTTATAGAAACACAGGAACAAAAATGAGGAGAAAAATGATAGGAGTGGATAACACAACTGACCTGCTGGATGTCTGAACTGCTTCATATGGAGCTAAGAGCAGTTTCTTGAGCAACACCACAGCAGGTACAACTGAGCGGCCAGATGCTTCAGTTCCATGCAATGCTAGGCATTCTGCATAACTATAAATAAGTTCCACAGCAGGTACTACAATGTTGTTTATTGTCTGTGTTTCAGGTCTTTCTAAGTCCAAAATCCCCCAGAGAACTTGCATTAATCCATCCACTACCCCTGAACCTGGATTTGTAATTTGTGAAGTATAAATACAGGATGCAGCACAAGGTAAGGATGCAGTAGGCAAAGCAAGAAGGTAGTAGACGGTATATATATAGGCCTCGATTACCGACAAGCGAATGAATTGTTTGAAGAAACAGCAAAAATAAAATGGCCCTTAAGCCTAAAATTGAAGACTTTTAAGATTAATAACGCTGAATAACAGAGCAAGATACCAATTAGCAAGTTATTGTCATCATTTACAGAGACCAAAGACGTCAGGACTCTGACTGAAGCATTTTGAAAACAACTAGAATACTTGAACTTGCTAAGATTTAAAAGCCTGTTGAGCTACTTATGAACTCAATGTGCATAGAAGTTAAACTCATATTCCGCAAAGAAACGCCAACCTATCCAACAAAAATTACACGTCGTTACAATTAAAAGAGGCAGGAAGATACCACACAAACTCCAAGATCTAATCATTGACTGCTTAGTTATATGAAGTTCAATATAAGCAAGCCAAATCATCTCCAAGATTCTAGTCCTCGAACAGGTGGTTTTACTCACAGTATAGAAACAATTTCTTTCTCAGTGTAAGAATATAAATTTATAACCCTTGACCCTAACCACAGCTTCAGATTTCTGGGATCAGAGCAACCAATGTTCTATCCCACCAGCCAGGTATTCAAAAAACCGATTAGAAAAAGAAAGACGCCATAGATACTGTAGAATGAGTCCTGGTTTCAGCCCATGAAAAAAGAACGCTCAACCGGCACACCCTATATGACAACTATGTCTCTCCATATATCGCAAACCAGGTTCTGTTGCAAAATGATTAACGCATGCTTCTATTGCTGGAATGTTAATGACTACTTTAAGAATCTACATGCACAAGATCATCTATCTATACTTATATACTATACACTAAACCAATAACCAAGGCTGCCACTTGGCAACTTCCTGGCATACTATGACTTTTAAACTTTCATTCGTTTTATAATTAATTAATTAATAATATCCATGTGTATATATTTTTAGAATCTACTATAGAAGACTTTCAATTTTCCATTTTATCTATATACCTAACTTATTTCCTAGATGGTTTATATTGTAAAGAGTTAAATATCGACATTTGTATTAATTCATTTTTTTACATTCTAATGAGAAAAAGATATCCATGTGTGTTCATTTTCTTAGGTAATTGTCAAGTAATAATCTATACCTACATCCATATTATTATAATTGTCAAATTATAATATCACCATCATACATTAGAACAATAATAAAAAATATTACTATAATACAGATGAAACAATATCATAATAATAAATCTCATGCATCGCATGGGCGATAACTAGTTGCAAACTAAATTGTAATGTACCATGAACTCCAAGAAAAGCAACCATGTTTGCCCTACGATGCAATGTAATTTTTGTCACTGCATTCATCTGAGCTGTGAACTCTTTGATTATCCAACCAGTGGCAGCACCACC